AGTCGATGAAAAAGGAAAATATTAAGCGATACCTACTTGAGCATATGCATATTCTTTATCACGCAAATGTGCATCGATTTGTTATAATCTGTCTAATAGATATTAAGAAATTGAACTGTAATCTTGACGGTAACTATTTGGATGTACAGCCTCTGCTCTTAGGGTCATGTATGCTGCTTTGAATTCTCCACAGCAACTTACAAAATGGAGTGGGACTGCTGGGGATCCTTGTGGAGAATCTTGGAAGGGCATTACATGCTCGGGATCCAAAGTGACAGAAATGTGATTTCACTTGAACTAAATAGCATGTTTGATAGTACTGGACTGTATCAGTAAAGAAAAGAAGCTAAAATCTTGTTTGTTACTTTGTCGAGTACTATCGAATATTGCGTACCTACATTGTTGTTTCCCTGCAGATATTTCTCTTTCTAACCATGCAATTACTAGTACACCTAGTGTGATTCTCATATGCACATTTCTCCTTATGTCATTCCTATTTCTCAAATTCGCTAGTTTCTGACATGTTAACTTTTGCTTATATTTTTCTGAAGAAAAATATCGGGACTTCAGCTCAGTGGTAATACGGGATACCTGCTAAAGAGTTTGTCGTCCTTAACAACTTTGTAAGATGAAGGGCTTATTGCAATTTGCTGTAATACCTATGTATACTGATTCAATGATATATTGCAGCGATATAAGCAATAATAATCTTGGAAACCAAATTCCTTATGATCTTCCTCCAAATCTGCAGCGACTGTACGTCACATCTTTACATCTTGTTCTCTATTCTCTTTATTTTCTATCACGGTCTCATCTAACGTTTTACTTAAATGCAGAAATCTTGCTGGCAATGGCTTCAGTGGTGGCCTCCCCTATTCAATTTCTCTGATGCCTTCCTTGAAATACCTGTTAGTAATGCCTTAATCCCGACCATGCCAACCGAAAGTGAATAAATTAATAAATCAGGGACCAATTTCTGATTGAATACAATACTTCTTTCCAATTGCAGCAACGTCAGTCACAATCAAATTCAGGGTCAACTGAATGACATGTTTGGGTCGCTTTCTGCTCTCTCCACATTGTAAGCCAGCCTCCTGGTTCTCTCAAGACTTGGATTCATTTTCATTCTAGCATGGTTTGTAATGGCTAAATCACAGCATTGTTACAGTAAACCTGATCATGACTTGAGATGCGCAACACAAGAATGTTAGTTTTTTTTAATTTTGTGGAAAAGCGGTGAGTAATTGTGTTCAATCTACAGGGATTTGTCTTTTAATGGTATAACGGGTGATCTTCCACAGAGTTTACACTCGCTGACGAGTATGACTGATATGTAAGTTAACTTGTTGGTATCAATATTTATCCTTATATTGATCCTTCTTTGACGACCAACTTATCATCATGAAGGTCTCTGCAAAACAATCAGTTTACGGGTACCATCGACGTTCTTGCAAATCTTCCCCTTGAAAATCTGTAAGTTCTATTCCAAACATACGTACTGATTCACATATATAAACTATAACTGTGAAAGAGTACCATGAGCAGCAATCGATTTGGCTACTGAGCCAATGCATGTCCTATTATCTTCTAGGAATGTTGAAAATAACCATTTTAGTGGATGGATTCCGCAGCAGTTAAAAGACATAAATCTACAGTAAGTGTCACAGTGCTTGAATCATATATATGTTTGGGGGGTGGGGGTGGGGATGTTCTCTATGCAGATAATTTTTCATTCAAGTCCTGTATTTCATGTCACAGAATGGGTGGTAATTCATGGAGCTCAGGGGCGGCTCCTCCACCTCCACCTGGGACACCTCCTGCCAGCCGGCCTAACCGAAATCACAAGTCTGGAGGAAATAGTGGCTCTTCCCATGGGGGAGGTGATGGGAGCAAATCTGGTATAGGTGCTGGTGGTGTAGTAGGAATTATTATATCTATTTTGGTTGTTGGAGGTATAGCAGCATTCTTCATTATAAAGAGACGATCCAGAAAGCAATCCATGGATATTGAAAAGCCTGAAAAACAGCCTTTTGCTCCTTTTGCTTCGCAAGAAGTGCAAGGTGCATATGTTTACATTTGTGCATTAATATTACTTAGTGAATCAATGTCTGAAGCCATTTTGAGTCGCTTATTATTATCTTCACAAGAATTAGACTATTTAACAGATTAAAGAAATCTTGGTATGGCTTGTTTGCTAGGTGGACTGCACAACGTAGGACTATTTTAAAAAGGCAAAAGAAGCTAAAATATTGTCCACGCTGTACTGTCTAGTCCTGAAATATAATCTGTACCAGACATGCTTGTAATGTTTCACTCTCACATGGCAGTTGCTAGTTTATTATTAGGACTATACAGTTGCTACTTTATTACTTACGCATGGTCTGAATGCTGTAAATTTGAAACTTAAATTTCAACAGTATGACGCAATCTTCAATTTACAAGATCTGGTATCATCGTAATTGTGTATAAAATTGATCGACTTATTATTATTTTTTTTTAAA